CCTGCTGAAAATTAAAAACTCTTTAAATTACAAATTCGAAAATTAACATTCTGCACCTGAAATTTTTTAATTATAAATTCGCATTTTCTATTTGAGATTTGATTAAGAGCGAATAGACAAAAATCATCTCGAGCTTTGGTAAAAGGATACCAAAAATTGGACAAATTTAATGATTCAAATTACTTAGGATTAATGTATATAATTTTGGGAATTAAATTGTATTTGTTATGATTTTAATATAAGCTAGTAAATTTTTTAGCTAGTGTTACATTTTCAATTTCTTAAATAATTGTTTATTGACGACTTGCACATCACATTGAATTCATTGGAAATAATAAATAATAAGTTTGATATTTTATATACAAAAATATAAAGTTGCATTCACCAATTTAACTTTCATTTATTTTAAGAGACACCTTCTTTTAAGACAAAGATTTTAGTTACTCATTTGTATTAATGTTATGCTAACACAGTTCTATTTTGGGATATATAGTACATAAAGATAGAGTGACTTTTCTTATGAATGTAAATTGAAAATTGAAAATATAATTTTGCATATGTAATTGGCACTAATAATTTATTTTTTAGTTATAAGAATATTCCTAATAATATTCGTACACTTTTACTTATTTTATCATTATACATTATTTTCTTTAGATATATTATACTGAAATAGAATTATAACTACTTTTTATAATATTAATATTCATATAATTCTAAATCTTTAATGTACTGTCTAATTATTAACTAAAATATAGCAGATGCAATGAATAAAAGATATAGAATAGAAAAAGATTTTTAAGTACAGTATAAATATTCTGTATACCTGGAGAAAAATGATAAATATATTATTACACTTATGTTACACATATGTAATTAATTTAATATATTCAACTTTTTGAATCAGATCTGATAGGTTCTTCAAAAAATTACAATTTTTGTAAATTGAAATACATTTACATCAACTCTTAACTTTATGAGGAAAAAGGTACATTACATACATAAATGTATAGCACATGCTATTCATCAAATGTCAGAAACATGTATTTATTATACATTTATTAAAATGTATGGAAAATATTTATTCCATGTTGGAAAACGTTATTTCTTATAACACAACAAAATTGATTTTACAAAACATGAAAATCTCACAAATCATTGAGATCAGAACCAATGAATACTATATTATGTATACAGATGTGTATATATTACATTTTATTTTTAATTTAATCAGGAAAGATTTATCAAAATGAAGAATTTTTTCTGCTCAATATAAATGACTAATAACTAATTGCTTATAAAATATTCTACTTTATGTGAAGTAACGTTAATCCGATTAATCGTTTTGATTCTTTAAACTAGTCCTCCACTGATATCCTATCATGATTGAACATGAAAATTTTTAACGCAATAGAATCGTTTTCCAAAACGATTTTACATCATTATTATACTACATTTAAATTACAAAACTTGTGATAAAAGAATCGATCTTTTATTGTTAACCTATTACATTAGAATTTCCAAATTATATCATAAGAATTAATCGAATTCGAAAAACACATTCGAGTTTTAAAATTATATAATGTGAAAAAATCGATTTTGGAATTAATCTCCCAATATTATTTTATCGTATTCGAGATTTAAAATTACGTCATGCAAAGAAATCGATTTTAAAATCGATCTTTTATCACTACTCTAACATATTCGAGATTCAAAATTAAATTATGGGAAAAAATTAATTTTGAAATCGATCTCTTATCGATATTGTATCGCATTCAAGTTTCAAAATTACACGATACGAAAGAATCCATTTGAAACTCAATCTTTTATTGTTATTCCGCTGCATTCGAGTTTTAAACGTCTATGATGCGAAGGAATTGATGAACTTCCGTTTGTTTCGTCTCCCCTCTTGGCCACTAATTCGTGCATCGGCGTTGCTCCGATTGAAACATTATTTGCATCGTGAACACACAATTGGATGGACGTTAATTACGTGTTACAGAGGCTGCGTGAGAAATCGATACGACTTTTACGCACACGAATATATTCATCTGGAACTTCGCGGTTTCACGAGGTCGATTTTGCTCTGCTGAAGATATCGATCGATACCTGAACTGATATTGGAATTCAATAGCGACACGAACGATACATTTTCACTTATACGTTGAATTCCTTGCTTCTTCTCTCACAGAGTGTTACCTTGAGTCTTTTGTGTAACTGAAACATTAAATATTCTAAAATTAAAAATTAAGAAAGTAAGGTTATGTATATCAAAGTAAAGATAATGGGCAATTGCTACTAGTTTGATGTTTATAAGGAACAATTTTGATATCAAAATCAGTTAACTGATTTGGTATGAGAGAAATGTAAAAAGATTGACAACAAAAATTGAAACAAAAATTGAAACAAAAATTACAGTCGTATGTAGTTGAAGACATAAAAGCTATATTCATTAGTATATTATTATATACTTAATTTTTTAATCTAGTATTATTAATAAGACGATATTATTTGATATTATTTTACACTTTATAATGTGTGAAATGCTATTTATTTCACTATTTATTTTTTTTCCATTTGATTACTTTTTATTGGATAAATAGTTTGTATATCAAATTTTTGAAATTTTTCGAATACTTAGGTTCATCATTCTCTATTTGTTACATATTTCATTACCTTTTTATTATTATTTATTTTATTCATATTTTATGATATTACTTTCAGGCTGAAAAGAAATTTTAGAAATTATTTAAGTATTTGTTTAAAACAATAATTAAATAGATGGAAATATAGTATTTTAAAGTTTTATTATTTATTATTTATACTAAAAAAGATTAGGAATATAATAGGAGCAACCCATTGCTTATTTGTTGTAATAATAATTTTTAGAAATGAATTTTCATAATACTAGCCATAATACATACCAAAGTGTTATGAGTCTTATAAATATGTTAGAAAATTTGAATATGACAATTTAGTATTTGTCTAATATTAAAACATGTTAAGTTGAGAAATTTATTTAATTGTTCTTTATATACAAAATGAAAAGATTCTACAATACTATTAACATTTCTTGTGCCATGGCTATAATTGGAAAAATATCTGTAACAAATTTGATGTGATTATATTAATAAATAAAAAGTCACTTGGTAAATTTAACAATCTGTTTTTCTATATAATATAGCAAAGGCATAAATTAAAAGTTGTAACAATTATAATTCATTATTTATTATTACAAACAATATTTCATAAATTATGCATGATAACTTTTTTCACTTGTTAGTTTAGAACATGACTTATAGGATCTAATTTTGGTTTCCTTTGACATAACATATTTTTCTATTGAAATTAATAAAATAATTGCACTACAAAATATTCATATATTGCTTCAATATAATATTGAATCAAGTTTCAGCCTTTATACAAATATATGAACATATATAATAACAATAAATTTAAATTATTAAGTACAACTTTTAATAAAAATTTGAGAGATTAAAAGCATTAAATGTATTTAAAGTTTAGCTATCAATTATGTACAACTTTCGAAATTATAAAACATTGCATATATTATAAAACAAAGAACGATCGTTCGTTAAACTTATTCGAGCTTAATTTATTCCAGGATTAATTCTTTCCGGCAACGAGATCTCTGAAATTCTGTCTCTGATATTAACCTATTACGGAGGTTCTGGTCACCGTCCAAGATGGATGGCGATTGGTGTTGGTCTCAGCGCACTCTCGTGTTTAGTTCTCGCACTTCCACATTTCTTATACGGACCAGGACGAGATGCCTTAGCACTGACGAAGGAATACCTTGATCAAACTTTGCTGAACGCCACCACAGTCTCCCAAGATCTGACAATTTGTCCACGTGTCGTTAAACCGGATCGTTGCGAGGAGGAAACGCTGCTGGATGTCAGTGTTCTTCCGAGACTCCTTGTTTTTCTTTCTCAGTTCATTCTTGGGATTGGTACCACTCTTTATTACGGCCTTGGCCAAACGTACCTGGATGATAATACGAAAAAGAAAAATACTCCTATGCTTTTAGGTAAATATTTATTCATCTAAAATAATTATGTAAAAAGTATTCCATTAATTTCAATATTAGGTAGATACAAAGTATGACAGTTTATGCAGTATTATGTAAATACAATTATTTGCGAAACAACGTACCAAAAAAAGAAAAAAGAATAATAGGAAGTTGGAAAATTAGGAACCCCAAATATTGTTACTTTTTATAAATATTTACTATACGCCTTGCTTTTCTTATCTGCTTCAATATATGTATACAGATACTTCATTTAATCATAAATCACATTATCATGATCGATAAGTTTATTTATTGGATCCTGATTCATTTTAATTGTATTTTAAAATGAGTTGCAAGCAGATTTTAATTGATTATTAGATTTAATATTGTATATAATTCTTATTAAAATTTTATCAAAATTTCAATTGCATGAAGCCATAATCTTATATGAAATAATAACATACATTTCGGTACTGTTTTTTTATTATTAAATAATCGATATTATTTTATTATTAAATGAAATATATATCGCAATGATTTCATTAAATAAAATATATTGCAAAAATATATTGAACTTTTTGTCTAGGAATGATTTCAAGCCTAATTTTTGAATACTCGAAATTCGAATTGGAATCTTTGTAAAATATTGAAATTTTCGAAATTCAAAATACTGATGATGTTTTACAAAATTAATATATTGTTTTAAGAAGTAAAGGTTCAACAAAGTTCTTGTATAAATCTTTAATGATCATAATTAAACAAAACATAAAGGAAAATACAATATGTGAATTTATCTAATTCCCGGATCCAATTTATTTTGAATTTTTCGATTCTCTATCCATCGATTTTATACCTTTTTCTTACCTGGCTTGCGAGGATTTTGAATTATAAAAAAGGTATGAAGTTCCAAATTTTAAAAATTCAGAGTTTTCTTGGGTTTCGAAAGGTTTCGAGGTTTCAACATTTCGGTAATCTCTAATTTGACAAAATATTAAAGAAAGAGTAAAAAAATCAACAATGCCATAACCTACAAAAGAAATTAATAACATTAGTGAAAAAAGCTTAACCTATAAAATAATTAAGTACGTATATTGAAAAATTTAAGAAAATAAAATACTGCACTTCAGTGAACACTTGCCTCAATTTATCAATTACAAAAATATAAACAAATCAATAATGTAAGATTAGTGAAGAAGGCTATGTGGATGTGCACTCTTTAATATATTAATAAATGCATATTTATAAACTATGATCAAGCTAAGATTATAGCTGTAGTTTTATAGCTACCATACAACATACTATTTCAATATGAACTTAATTCTTAATTCGCTACTAGCTTATCTTTAATTCACTCCTGCATGCAGTTTCTCGTCAATATATTCTCAGCATTCGCATTCTTTCTTTTTCTATTCTTCTATTGTTTTCATTCTACGTAACAGTTCCATCATATGTTCGTATAAATTCACTTAAAATCATGAATAACTATGTTTTCTGTTTCATGAGGTTATCGCAAATATTTAAATATTCTTCTTCCACACAGCAATCAAATTATTCATTCACATCTAAAAAACGATGCAATCACTTGATTTTTAAACACGTAAGATAAGACTTTAGAGAAGACATCCATCTTGGTATGCTAAGACAGTAGTGTACCCTACTGGCGGTTTTAATTATTAACGTAATCTATAATAGGTACCGATAGTCACTTAGTATGATTTCAAGAAAGGGCATACTTTTTTATTCATTTCTTCTTTTATTACCATTTGAATTAAGATAATTTGAAAGTTCCAATTTTTCATATGTTAAAGTATATAAAAAAATTTTTTCTTCGCCGTTTTAAAATTAAATTCACTTTAACCGAACACTGTAAATAATTTAAATTTATTGAGCAAACTCTTTACTTGTTACAAATCAATTCTATTATTCCTATCATGATATTTAATTGTTTAGTTTTCTAATTTTATAATATTTATTTTTTAAATTAGGTTTTACCTTCGCTTTAAGGACAGTCGGACCGGCAATAGGATTCCTTCTAGGTTATGGTTGTCTTAGTTTGTACATAGATCCCACTTTAGATCCTGTAATTACGAAAAAGGATCCACGATGGCTGGGTGCATGGTGGCTGGGTTGGATTATTCTAGGTGCCACTATGGGTATATTTTCTATTCTGATAGCCATGTTCCCACGTCATTTACCGACTGCGAAAAATACTGCAATCGACACTGCCAAGAAGGTAAAACATAATCGATAGGATTTATCATACAATACTCAATGATGTAGAGTTTAACAAAGCAGTTTGATGTATCTACTACGCTTAAGTTTGCGCATCTGTAGAAACGTTTCCATTTATTAAGATGTCGCACTAAACTTATGTGTATCCAAACTACGATGAAAATTCTACTCGTTAATTACTGAGTACCAACTTTTTAAATATTCTTTTATTTTCAATCGTGTAATATATATTAGAACATATATTGACAATATGCATAAGTAAAAGAGCTTTTTTATGGCAATGAAATTTTTTATAGTTTTAATATATAAATTATCTGTGCTGGTAAGAAAGAAATTATCTGTGTTCGTTTTTGTAACAATTTGCTTTAAATATACAAAAATGAATAAAATAAATATAAATAAGTAAAAGAACTTTTTTATGATGAATTTCTTTATAGTTTTAATATTTTTAATTATCTGTGCTGAGAAGGAAGAAATTATCTGTGTTAATTTTTACAATAATTTGTTTTAAATACACAAAAATAAAAATTGTATATATCTAATATACATTTTCTTCAAATCACTTTATAACATTTTGTATGCCTTTCAGGATGGTAGTATTCCCTTGAAATTGCATCTGACTATGCAGGAACAGTATATGAAACCGATGGAACCAAGAAAGTCGATAGAGATCGAATATATTCCAACTATGCGTGAATTTCCGAAAGCAATGAAGAGGTTACTGACAAACTGGCTGTTGACTTTTAACAATCTAAGCGCAGTATTCTACGTGCTGGGTGCATCAGCCTATGTAACATTTTTGGCAAAATATCTCGAGGTCCAATATAGCACCTCAGCTGCTGGTGGCACCGTGATCGCAGGTGTGTCACTTTGGAAAAGTCACGACGTTCTGAAAATATGTCTTATATCGATGCAATCGATCCAAAGTAATTTCTCAGATATCATTGAACACAAGCTTTTATATTTGAAGGTCCTATATCGCTCGTTGGTATGATACTAGGGTTTCTGCTTTCTGGGCTAGTCATTAGCAAATTCAAACCTAGTCCCAGACCGTTGTTAGCGTGGAACGTATTCGTCGGTGTTTGTTTCGTCGCTGGTCAGATACTCTTTATATTCCTCGGTTGCTCTGATATCGGTATCGAAGGTCTCAACCTAGAAACTATGCAGTGAGTACGTTTTCTTGCTTACAAGAGATTGTTTTTAAACACTTCGAGATAAGTATATCACTGATCCACTTGTTTCCAGACTAATGATGAGAATATTGTACATCGAATGTTAATTTGTATTATGAAATTGGCACAATCGTGATATTCGCGATACTCGTGTAATTCGTATTCGAAATTTGAAAAATCTGGAGAAGATTAACTTCGTCGACTTGTTGTAGAAAATATATGCAGTAATACATAAATGTGTTAGAAAATTAATTAACCATTTATAATTATTAATCAAATTTCGATATATTTTGTAATTTATAATCGAAATTTTTGTTAAATTTTTTTTCTTAAGAATATGGAAATTTATTACGATTAAATATTATTATTACTTTCATATTTATAAGATTATGGTTAAGTGTAAATTGGAAATAATTATGAATAGTTTTCTTCTATTATATTAGTATAGAAATATACTGCTATACGTAATTGTACGTTTTTTGTAATATTTATGGTAAACGATACAATTATGTATGCACCAACAGAAATCGTCGAATGACACGATTCTTTACGTTGCTACCATACTTCATTGTTAATGTAAGGTACCGTTGCTTTTAATATAATATATAGAGCGTTGTTCATACGATTTAATGTGACTTTTATGTATTCTAGAAGAGTTATAGACGTCTTGAAGCTATTTTAAAAATATTAAATGTTTGAGATAATAAATGTACATACTATGAGTGTTTGTGTCACAGCCTTGTGTTAGAATTGTTTAAAAAGCATATATAAGTGTGATTAATTAAAATTAATTGTAATTCCTTAAAGCTTCATAGACACCTATTATCTCTTTGATTCCACACTATTATTATACATTATAAGCAGGTACACATATATTTTTCAGATCTAAACTATGTTAGTTGTTTTCTGTTGAAGTATAAATACATATTTATAAGCACATTAATACATATCTATAACTTCATAAATTTGTCTATAATATATTTTTTAAGCTATTTAAATACATAATACTTGTGCTAAAATACAAGATTGTATTGCTCTTAATTTAATACACATTTAAATATGCATTATACTTCTTCTTGTATACATATGCAAGTATATATTCGATATGTGCCAATTTTCATAATATTTTGAAGCATATACTTAGTCGCAAATTAATTACATATACTTTTATTATTATTGATAGTATTTTTAAGAAGTAATGTTAAACAAACACGAATCAAACGTTATCAATTGAATTCTGTTGCAGAATGAACCTGACATCTAATTGTAATATTGATTGCAACTGTGAAGGTGTGAAATATTCTCCTGTTTGCCACGTAGAATCGAAGACAACGTTTTTCTCTGCTTGCCATGCCGGTTGTCAGACGATAATAAACGACAAGGAATTTGGCAACTGCAGTTGTCTTCCCTTACTGGATACGTCGAGTCTCAGGAGCCATTTCGATTATACCACCGATGGCCACTCGAAGGACCAATCGATCTACGTGGATGACGCTCATATGATGAATTTTGACAAAGTCAGAGCTGGTCCATGTACAAACGACTGCAGCGGCCCTTATGTACTCTTCATAGTTCTCACTTGCATCATACACACATTGGCGTGTTCTGGAAAAATTGGTAATGTCCTGGTGAATTATCGCAGTGTCGACAAAAAGGATAAAAGCTTCGCTCAGGGTATCACATTGATGACTATTTCCTTATTCGCGTTGATACCGGGGCCAATTATTTACGGAGCCATTATCGACTCAACTTGCTTGATCTGGGAAGAGTCTTGCGGAACCAAAGGCAACTGTTGGTTCCATCATGGAAGAAACTTCCGGTATTTAGTTAATATAACATCAGCAGGTAAGTTTTCAGTGATGATAGACGTGTAATGTGATCTCTAGTAAATGGATTAAAAGTGGACAGTAGAAGTGTAATACAACTTGATTGATATTCTGTTGAAGTAGGAAAAAGAAGAGTTATTTCCAGGAAGTATACACATATTTTCTAGAAGACAAATTCGAATTGTGTTGAACGCAATTTGATCTTCTGTAATATAGGGTGTCTTGAGGTTAGCATACTTTGATTTAATTACCAAATAGAAGATGATAGGATCAAAATCTGAAGATACTTTTTAGTACAACAAAATTTGTTCTTTTTAATTTTTTAAGATTATTTCAAGATCATTTTATATTTTTGGTTTGGTATCACGTATAAGACATCGATTCTCTGTTTTAAAATTTGTTCATCTTTGTAACCTTGGGTTACCTTAACCTTTTTCTCTGCTTTTCCTTGCATTTTTGTAACACCAACCCAAAATATGGAACTCTATTTGAAAAGTTTGGAGTCATGTTGAAATAACCTTGAAAAATTAAAAATTAAAAATTTTCTTTATATTTTTGTACATAATGGTATTTTACATAAAATATTTTAATAAATATTTTCACATCTTTGTCCTATCATCTGTCGTTTAGTAGTTAACTACAAGGCACTTTCCATGGGACACCCTTTACATCAAATTCCTTTAAATGTGTTCCAGAATTTATGTAACAGAAATGCATAATATCTGTGATATTAGATATTCATATTTCATTATTAATTTTGTGGATATTAATTGTAATTACATATGCATTTCAAAATTATGTCAATCAGCACTGAAACTATTTGAATATATGTATATACAATACAAAATTTTTGTCATCTAAAGTTCAACTAATTGCAAAATAAAAAATAATGGTATATACATTGTAAATAATAAAATTATTTTTCATCGCAATGTATGCAACTTAATAAGTATAGTACAGTATCTATAGTGACATTTGTTCAGAAGTTAAATTATGATTTTCTAGAAAAACGCTTCTACTGTACAGTATCAAATTCAATCACAAACCTAATGTCAAACTCATTGCGTTATGCTAACTTATTTTATATTATAAAATATAAAACCGTTGAAAAATTCGAAAAAATTTTCATTTGAGATTATACAAGGCGGGAATATAATAGTATTTGTTCAAACTAAATGTATACAAACGTCTAGTTTCTTTTGATTCATCGAATGCGCGCCAAGTGTTGAAAACCAGCACCTGCGCGCGCAGCATTTGGTTTGGATCCGCCTTACCGGCAGAATTCATCTGGGATTCGATGTCAATATGCGTCTTATTCGTATTGACATTTCTCATTTATCGTGACTTGCTTGGGCTGCAGATCATGAAACGTTACTCATAATTTGTAACTAATTGGACGATTAACTGAAAAGTGAAAGAAAACGCTTTAAATATAATTGATGAATAATAAGTTTCGTAATATTATTGAGGTTATTCAGGGATATCAAAGAAAGAATTAATTACTTTATTGCTTTTGCTATTTCAGATGATATTATATGTTTGGTAGTTTGAATTGTTCTCCTAATACTACGATACAATTAATGCCAGATAACTAAACTTCGCGTGTCAGGTTCTTTAAATCACCTGTCATCCACCTGTTTGTTTTATAAGAAAGATATTTCCTGAACAAATTTTTAAAGCAAGTGGAAATTTACTGAATTTTTGTTCCCAAACTGGGAATGATTTTTATGTGGTTTCGTGAGTAGACCTTTTTCATTTGATTAATGATATTAGCTGATCATGTAAATAGATGGTACTCGTGGTATACATATGCACATACATATAACTCTCACTGTACAGCGGAATCCTTAATGAAGATAACCTGCGGTACAGAGCGTTCGTCGCAACTATCGTCATGATTTTTCAAAGGCTTTTAATAACGTGATAGAACAAATATTATGGAACAGAAGTCAGCGTTTAAATAGCAACAAACAGTATTATTATTACAGTATTAAAAATTACAAAAAATATTTTTTTATCTTTCGTATCAAGTACTTTGAAAGATATCGGAAGAAATTAGTAATATTATATGAAGGCGCTATTTTTAAATAATTTGGATTGAAAATCGTTTTGAATTGTAACAAGGTTTCTTATTTACACAAAAATCAAACACAGTAGTATGTAAGTATGTAAGTTCTTCAATTATAAAATATTATAAAATATTTAAACATTGAATAATATTCATGAATGTGAATTAATATTAGAATTTTTTGTTAACTTAGTGCTGACTTAATTTTCTTTAAAACGTTTCTTTTTACCAGATTTTTCTGAAACGTCTAAAAAGTCATGACGATCATTGTAAATACCCTATATTTGTGATTTATTGGTATTCTTATATAAATAGAGTGATCAATACAGGAGACTTTAAAATAAAAGAAGTAAATTTGTTAAAATTATGCAATGGAAATTCCATTATCTGATCACTTATTGCATTATTTTAATAGAAAATTAATAATAAAGGTATAATAATTAATACTTTGTAGATAATAATGATGCCATGCAGAAAACATGTGATATTAAAAATGTATTACATTTAAATACGTAAAGTATGGTAATTACATATTTATATGTAAGTGCGAAAATAATGACATATTTATGTAAAATGAGTAAAACCATCATAAGTAATTTAAAAAACATTACAATTATATTCTATTTTACTTTTTACTGTCATTATTGGTATTATATCTCTTAAAATATAAAATACTTTATAAAAAAAATCTGAAATAAAATATTTTATAAAATATTTCATAAAATTATAAAAAATTGTGTGTTCTACTATCTGACAAGAACAGTAATATCAGAACAGTGGCGACAGATTAATCCGAATACTGGAGGTTTTATTGTTTTTAAAAGTACCATAAAACATTGAATTCATTATTATCTACTATAGACTAACGTAAATACAATAATAGATTCGAATGGTGGAAGATAGGTGACAAAGAGACTTAATATTTTTATCTTATCTGGTCTCGATGGAACTTGAAAGAATATACTTTTATGCTCGAAATTACAACATAAACACTGATGTAACAATTCGATCCTAATCAAATTGTCAACTTTAGATCAGTAAAATAATAGATACGTTCGAAAACAGAAAATACTTCTCTATATCAACAAGTCACACTGTACAGCGGAATCCTTAATGAAGATAACCTGCGGTACAGAGCGTTCGTCGCAACTATCGTCATGATTTTTCAAAGGCTTTTAATAACGTGATAGAACAAATATTATGGAACAGAAGTCAGCGTTTAAATAGCAACAAACAGTATTATTATTACAGTATTAAAAATTACAAAAAATATTTTTTTATCTTTCGTATCAAGTACTTTGAAAGATATCGGAAGAAATTAGTAATATTATATGAAGGCGCTATTTTTAAATAATTTGGATTGAAAATCGTTTTGAATTGTAACAAGGTTTCTTATTTACACAAAAATCAAACACAGTAGTATGTAAGTATGTAAGTTCTTCAATTATAAAATATTATAAAATATTTAAACATTGAATAATATTCATGAATGTGAATTAATATTAGAATTTTTTGTTAACTTAGTGCTGACTTAATTTTCTTTAAAACGTTTCTTTTTACCAGATTTTTCTGAAACGTCTAAAAAGTCATGACGATCATTGTAAATACCCTATATTTGTGATTTATTGGTATTCTTATATAAATAGAGTGATCAATACAGGAGACTTTAAAATAAAAGAAGTAAATTTGTTAAAATTATGCAATGGAAATTCCATTATCTGATCACTTATTGCATTATTTTAATAGAAAATTAATAATAAAGGTATAATAATTAATACTTTGTAGATAATAATGATGCCATGCAGAAAACATGTGATATTAAAAATGTATTACATTTAAATACGTAAAGTATGGTAATTACATATTTATATGTAAGTGCGAAAATAATGACATATTTATGTAAAATGAGTAAAACCATCATAAGTAATTTAAAAAACATTACAATTATATTCTATTTTACTTTTTACTGTCATTATTGGTATTATATCTCTTAAAATATAAAATACTTTATAAAAAAAATCTGAAATAAAATATTTTATAAAATATTTCATAAAATTATAAAAAATTGTGTGTTCTACTATCTGACAAGAACAGTAATATCAGAACAGTGGCGACAGATTAATCCGAATACTGGAGGTTTTATTGTTTTTAAAAGTACCATAAAACATTGAATTCATTATTATCTACTATAGACTAACGTAAATACAATAATAGATTCGAATGGTGGAAGATAGGTGACAAAGAGACTTAATATTTTTATCTTATCTGGTCTCGATGGAACTTGAAAGAATATACTTTTATGCTCGAAATTACAACATAAACACTGATGTAACAATTCGATCCTAATCAAATTGTCAACTTTAGATCAGTAAAATAATAGATACGTTCGAAAACAGAAAATACTTCTCTATATCAACAAGTCTATTGATTTTATTAACTATTTTCAATTTCCATTTTCTCGTACAAATATTTAATAGATCTCAATAATTTCTTAATAATTTTACTACATAGAGAAAATAAAATTTTATCACATTGTTAGAGACAAACCTGTTCACACATGTCCGAGGTATAATTAATCTTATTTATATTTAACTTTTAGCGTCTTTATTGTCAGAGTGTTCTGCTACTGTATGATAATGTGTTTTTTTAGGATTCTCGATGATAGGAGTGTTGTTCGATGCAGCAGTTTGTTATCTCGGGAAGAATTTGGATCTTTATGGCGCCCAAGAAAGCGACAAGCGTCGCGAATTTATTAAAGAAGACGACCCTCCGCAAACTGCCGACGGGAAGAAGAAAGAAATGAACGGAAATGTAAACTGAAAGACAATAGGGCAATAATCGTTCTTACCGATTACGAGTCAACATGTTCCACACAAAATTCCAGATTAGATCGTTACGTGAATTCGATTAATTTCCATAACTAATGTCGATGGTGGAGATGGTCTCAAGTATCAGATTGCATAGGGGCATCTTTCAAATACATCTCGGGTGTCCTGTCGAATAGTTAGCTGAAAAGTGAATCACAGATTAGAGTAAAATTCAGAGCAATCAAATATACGTTGATTTATTCCTTTGAAATGGCATTCCAGACTGCTGAAATATTTGCACGATTGTACAGCGTTATTCCTATCTATTTGTAAATAAAATACGAATTTTTATTAAATTTCTGACCGTGTATATCGTTCTTCTGATCATCAAATGTTTTTGTGCAAGTAGATGGTTAAAATTGATTTTCAAGGAAAATCGCACTTTCTCCGTTAAATCTACGGCAAACAAAATATAATACTCGACGAGACAGAAACGTTTGATCGAACTGAAATGAAAACAAGCAGGTATGTATATTTTGCCATCAGATGCGTTTTTTTCCTTCGCACGTAACAGTTCATCGAATTCTTTAAAAAGCGAATTGCATAAAACCGATACCGACTATAGAATAATGTATAACCGTATAATTAATAAAATATATTTTATCAAACTTTTAAAAATTTATAATATATCATCAATATATTGTGTAAAAGCGATGGGCTAAATCATTCAAACTGATGAACATTACCAATGTTAAATGGTAACATATTTGGTAAAATATCAACATGAATATTAACATATCAACATCAACTAAATAACATAAAATTAACATAAAATAATAACATCAACTATTTTTAAAGAAAAATACTTAAGTTGCTGTTAAATATTTTTTAAAGTTTACATTTAATACAATCATTGCTATTAAAAGTTTTCTGTAAATGAAAATAGAAATTTCTTTCATCACGTATTCTTTTAATTTCTTAAGTCGTTTTATCAAAATGTATGAAATCAAAAGTACAACAGTCGCGTAAGCAAAATTATTTAAATAATTCAGTCGACGTACCATATTAGTAAAATGTTAATAGTAATAAACGTGTTAAATAAGTAAGTACAAATTTGCATAAAAATATTAAGTACGTTTAACAAATATTTAATAAACAAGATTATTTAGTAACAATAAAACTCAATCCATTATCTGGAGACGGAGCAAGTAAACTAGCTCGATCGACCTTATTTGAAATTTCGTTGCACGATAAGCGAAGATTGTCCTTTTGGAGGGTCCAATGGTCCATGACGGTTTCGTTAAATCTCCCGCAAATAGGCCGTAATGCTCAGGGAGAAGAAAGGGTTTTCTGGCTGTACGAAAGAGAAAAAAGGAGAGAGAACGAAAAAGTATACTTAAATCGGCCGATCGACGGTTCCAGCTGATTCGCCGCTCTACAGGAGGAAGGAAAGCGTTTGGAAGGGGGGATAGAGGTCTAAAGGCTTGTTTCCAAGCCTCCATCCCGAATTCCAGGGGTCGACGCCGGTGCAGAGACCTCTGCTAGTCAAAGGATTACAAACCCGCGAACCTGAAAGTAAAAAAGGGAGTTTTTGTTTGAGAGCCTTTTAATTTTTAAGCTCAGACAGACCGAGCCAGGAGGCCTAGCCGCGTAATGAATTCCACAACGTCTTCCGTGACGTCAAGACGTCTCTATCGATCGCATCCTTAGGCACGCTCCTGGAGGATGCGCTTTGGCATTACCGGGAGGATTAAGTGCCCTGCCTTACTCCTCCGTAAATAAAGAAAAATCACGACTACGATCGTCGCTCGTCGCTCGTTCACCGCTCCCCTCGGGATCGATTCGCTTCACGACCGTGTCTCGCCGATCCAGAGTTTCTTGTTCGAGGATTTCCTTGCTTGTCGAGCATCATGAGCCGTAGCAATTGCCGGGTATACTGCTGCACGTGTTCTGACCAAAACCGTGGGATGGCAGCAAGAAAGTTTATGTACACCTTAAGAAGAAAAACACAGTGTTAATTGCTTCACAGATGATTCATTTTAGAAATTGGGTATGGAAACATGGTGTTACAGGAAAGTATACATTTGCATCTCTTCATTATTTTCTCCTTTCTCCTTTTTATCTTCTCCTCTTGGTTCACCTGCAAATGTTAAGTGCACATATTATACATGTAACAAAATAATAATAAGCATATTTTAATCTTGTGTTAAACATTTATTGTTGTATCCCATACGTTTAACACCAATGTGTAACATATATATCCATATATGTACAAAAATATATACAAACCTTTAGAAAATTGGACGAGAATTTGATTAAGCATCTGTTGTATTATTTGATGCTCAATGTATCAAGACTTGTTTAATACTTTCTACTAAATGGCCTATAATCACCAATGAAAATTCCACATTAGTCAATAAATTTGTAATTAATTAATTATCTCGATATATATTTATTTATAATTCGATGTATATCAATTACACAGAACCTGAACAAAAATCCAAAAATTTGCATGTTGTTGCACTATATTTACAGCAAAACGTAGATCATTCGGTAAACTGCGACTTCGACTTCACAAAGGGGTTAAGAACATTAGGTCGAAAATTCTGTAAACGAAAATATCATTTTACGAAATGCATCTGTTAAAAAAAGAATTTATTAATTCATTTGAATACTCACCGTTAATAATCACGATATAATGAAATTTCGTGGAACAATCGACAAGATGGATACGTAGTACTTGAATTTGGATAAAACGTTGGTATTAGCTGCGTATCACGATACGACTGATACAATTGCCACGACTGAAGATAAAAGCGAGCAGTAGAAATTGGGCAGTTTTTGCCTATGCCGGCCGCTTGAAAGCACGCGATCGAGTTACCACGAATGTACGGGTCAGCTTCGTGTTAGGAAGTTTTGTCGTTGTGTGTACACGGTGCATTGTGCATGACCCTGACCCATCTTTCATATAGACCTCATCAACGTCTTCTAAGTCGAGGTACAGTCTGATCTAGACTAACGTCGATTATGCACATTGGACAAGGATAGAGGTATGCGGCACGGCTGACCGGAAGCGACCGGTTTCAACCGTCTTCTTGCTATTTCCAACTTCCATTTCTTTCTAAACATTGACCGACGCTCGTTTTATTCCTGTACAAACAGATTAGTATTATTATTTTCTAAGAATCTCCACTCGTTTTTTAATCAGGTGTTCTTAACGTCAATTAAGATAAGCCCAAAGAACTACAAAATTGACTGACAAAAGAATTTGATAAGTACAACTGTATGTGACTTGCGTGATTATTATTATATGTCTACTTTATATATCACGGGAATATTATTATAATATTATTATTACCTTTACGAATATTGTTGTCACACGTATAATCAACAAATACGATTGAATTAGATTCACAGTTAAGATATGTGTTTCGAACGGTTGTATATGAGGTTACGTATAACGTTTGCGTGAAGAGCTGTCAGCAGTTAGGTTGCATACACAGAGTTGCATCCAATACGAAATCGGAGACTAACGGTACAACGTAGCGTAGATAAAAGTAAAATACGCAAACAAAGGAATACACCGAATATAGAATCGTTATGTAATATATAAAAATGTAGGAGAGCGACATCGATTGGCCAATTTGGGTATTTAGTGCTTGTGAAACACGCGATATATGGTTAAATTAAATTTCATATCTCCAGTTTACATCTTAAGCACGAGGTTAGGTTTGTAACGAAAGAAACAAGCGAGAATAGAAGACTTGAAAGAATATACCGAAAAGACGACAATTCTGCAAAATCTATAAATTTGTATGTTCGTTCATGTCGGTAAAAGAGTGTTACGAATAAAAGGCCATTCGCCCTCGAGAAAAACGGCGATTAGCATTAACTGTGGGTAATAATAATGATTCTAATGCAGCTCGTCCGGCCTTGATTCTTCTATTCTACGAATGCTGCGTAATTTAGCGACGCAAGTGGGTTGTAGCGTTCAGCGCGTCTAACGAAATTTGTCAACCTATTAGACCGGCTCTCCAGGCCCTTGCTTCTTAATTTACTGGATTACCCGCACAATACGAACATTCTTATTGTGACGCGGCCGCAACGCGATTAATACGCTTTCCTTACTCGCCGTCTCCTTCTTTCGTCGGAAAAGTTCGAACTCTATACGTGTTTCACCGAAACTAGATATCGACATTTCCTCGATCAATCGATAACCAGCCTCCCTACAAAAATCATACCTACGAAAGAGAAGAAAAGTGATGTTACCATTACGTCTCTACAATGTTAAGGCACGTAGGTAGAGGAATTAAAATTTTGTTGAAATCGACCACGAGTTATATATCTTCTTAACGTTACATTGATTTACGAGTTCTACTCTACACTCGTCTTGTTTAATTTATACTGAAGGAAGAAAGGGAGAGGTCCTACGTTGAAAAAGTTATCTCAAATTACGTCAATTACTTGATATTGAAAAATCTCTGTAAGGAAATGTAATCCGTAAACCTACTGAATTTACCGACGGAACAAATTCTATTTTTACGATCGTTTACTTTCCTTAAACGTGGTGCCAGAAAGATAGCCGTGATTAAATGTTCCACGAGTGTATCAGGCAATTATTTTATTTGTTATTCTAATAAATTTACTTGGTAGTTACAATTTGGTGAGGGGCTACAATCTTTTCCAAAAAGATAAATAATACCGTGTATCGGTATGCATATATCAACACGTGAGTGTTAATAAATCTAAGACATGGTCAAGTTTGTGTATGTATCGGAAATTTGACTAATGCTTAAAACCTTTGTCTAGCAAAAGAATCTAATAAATAAAAGTTATTGACAGCAAAAAAATTTAATATTATCTCGATATTCGTTAAAATAATTTTATCATCGATTTTTATAAGTGTATCAAATATCAAAACATTGAGACATTGTATTGTTCACCGTTGTCTTTAAGTAGTGAATATTGTTAATCTAGTGCGCATGATTTATAAAGTACCTTTCTTCAATCAGATTGTTAGCTTATGAAATCTTATTAGTGGAATAGGAGGAAAATATGTGATCAAGAATGTTTCGTTCGTTTAGTGACAAGTTGAGACTGTGTACTAATTTATTGCTGTCTTATCGTAGACGTAAATTTTTGCCAACAAACAAAATGTCTGACATATGTTTGCAAACAAGCACACGAACGTCAGCAGGAGAATATTTCCTACAAGTCATGCCAAAATTGGTTAATTACACTTTCATGACTTGTACGTTTCCTTGTGTTCAAATGACATTGACACGATTCTACTTGCAATTATAAGATTGTAATATTAATCGATTAATAATTAATCGATACACAATAACCAACGATATCTCTCGACGAGATAATTTGCTAATTTCCTTGTTTGTCGCTAGAATTTCCTCGTTTCTATTACTATGACAGGTTAGCCACGCGCCAGGAATATACATATGTTACCGTAAGCAGAGACACGTGCATTTAGAATTCGAGCCCGGTTGATAATATCGCTTAATTATCTTCGTGGCCATGATAACAAGATTTTAATCGGTTTCGCAACATCTTTCATTTTTCTTACTTCAAGGTTGCGGAAACTGTTTAAGTTAAACATTGTTGATTGCTTATTAAATAGAGCAAATAAAATTTTGCACTTTTACTTCTTTCAGTTTGTTTTTCAATTGTCGAACTTTTAATAGGTTATGAATTTTGGGTATTTAATACAAGATCTTAATCATACAAAATAGAAATCATGTTAAAGGAAAGGAGGTTAATAATATATTATGTTTTAGGTTTTATATGACTAAGCTTCAACAAGTTCTATGAGATAACTAGAGAAATATAAATATATATATATTATTACAAAAGTGACAATAATCACATTAATATATAAAAACATTCGAATGAAATGCACAATGACACTTTATCGAGAAAAACAATTATCGGAAATATTGGAAACCAATCGTCATATCACTTGCATCGAATAACTGTTTCTAAATTTAACAAGAGGACGATAAATATAACACATACGAATTATCAGCTACGAGGAAAAAGAATTTCAAGTCAACAACGTGAAATTTCATCAGTTTTTAATACTTTAAGAAAAACGATCTCTCTCTCTCTTTATATCTGTCGCTGCGATATAATTGTGTCCTTTTATTTTATTTTCACTAGGTGTTCGCTAATTAATACGAAACACAGAGAAATACATCGAAAAGATCGCAGGGTATCTCGAGGTCGAAACAACTACGACAACACGGCCGTAGGCCGATCCATTCTTCGATGGAAAATTAAATTTCAGCAATTAACCACCAGCTATTAGCGGTATAGCTGTTTGGTGTGTGCCATTAGCAATGCGCGGGAATAGACGGAAGAGTTTACCAGCCGCGTTAGTGTGCGCGTGTGTGTACATCACGTCGGCTCTATTAAATCATAATGGGTTCACAATGTGAGCCTCTGCTCCCGGAGGTTGACTAGAAACGAGCATAGACACCATACCCAAAGCCGAGACCTCGTCTATCTTTCTGAGATCTGCATCTTTCGACCCAGTCCTAGTTGGGAATACCCTTCTCACGCAGAATCGGACATTATGAGCAGCTGTGAATGGATAAGACTAAAAATTGACAACCTCAATGACGACATTTGTGAAATAATTCAAGTAAATTTGCCTTCATCTACATACCTTTATGTTATAGTAATTGACAATGCAGTTATAAGAATCGTTAAAGAAACGTTATTACTTCTTTTAGTTGCTGGTGTCTTCATTATGATTCTTCGACCATTTTTTATGCTCAAGTACGAAGCTCTTTGTCATCAGTCTCTTCGATCATGTTATCAAGCTTCAGGTTATCGATTATTGTCTTTTCATTAATGACTGATTTGTTATCATGGATCATGAGATTTCTATAGGGATTGAATGAATGGAATGGGAATCTTTTTACTGACATTTACTAGAAACAAGTCCATATTCTCCTCTAGTATCACGACAATATGTTTTGTCATCATTTAATGAAATATCCTCTGAATTAGTCAATTTTTAGTAGTGAATTTTTTTTCATGTCCAGGGAATGTCATCGGCTCTTTGATGGTCACTGTAGCTGGAGCGATCGAATGTACCACATATCTTCCAGTAACCAATTATAAGGAAAAAAGAAGACCAATCACGTAAAGATTCTACAAATTTCTTAGTGCACAGTTGGCAAATTGTTGTTTCCACCTGTTTCTCTTATAAAACCGTCCCATCCAGATTAACTTGGACCCGAGGTATCTTCCATTCTAGCCAGATCGCATTATCGACATGTCTCCGCAAATATAGATTATCAAAGGTAGACCTTTGAGAACGTAGTCGAGCAAGTACAAGTAAATTCTTCTGCCGTTTGATGGACGAGGAGAAATACAAATAGACGAAGAAGGAAGGAGTGCTCGGCCGAGAGAGACAGACAGAGAGCAGAGAATAGACGAGACAAAGATGGAGGAAATAGAGGGGAAGGAGACACGAAGTGATTGCAAGAGAGGTAGAAAATGTGCCCGCTTGATAACAGCAACGCGAACCGAAGTACCATAGATGCATCACAGTTCTCCGCGTCGTGATCCTCTGTCGTCTGATCGGTTCTTCGGGGTCGAAAGTGGGGATCCGCAGGAGGCTCCGTACACGGCTTCATCTGTGTCGCTCTCGGAAGACGATCTCAGTTGCGGAAGAATATCGTTCGTTTTCGGACACAAGATTCGCATTTTTTCGCAAAGAACCGTCGTAATTGATTCGTAAGGCCACTGCTACGTAGGATCCTATCTCTTTACCTCCACTTTCTGTGGCGTTTCGGAATATTGGCCCAGCACGTCCTCGTTCGTTTTCATCTCGTTATAAAGATCTTTTTTATTTTTACGGTAGGTACGAGTGAATCTTGTGAGAGCTTTTACATTCCTTCTGTTCACCTACCTTCGAGGTTTATGCTAAATAGAAAATATTAGTTTCCATTCGAGGATATCGTGTATTTATTCTGTCTCAAATGACCTCTTATTTGTATTAAAAAATACATTGATTGAGAATTGTTGAGAAGGGAGAATACAGTGATGGTATTAATTAGCATAATGCGAGTAAAGATTTAAAACAATTGTTTCACTTTTAAAAATAAGTGTATGTTTAACAAATTGTTTTCATCAGAATAGCGTTAAATTTTTATCTTAATGACTATGTTGGTAGTTGATAGAATTTTGTCAATTATACTTCTGTCTAAACAGTACCTTATGCTTAAGAGAATTTCAGAATTTGTAAACGTTAGCTTCCACTAGTCACTTGTTCCTGGGGTCGTTCACCAAACTTCACGATGTCTCATAAAACGTCAAAATAATATCTCGCACAAAATGTCACTCTCAACGTTTTCGTGAGTGATTAGAGTAAAGTCTGTAGTAGAGTCTGTTACTAATTATACGTTGAAACTGGACGATCTCTAATCCGATCGTGTGTATTTTCAGGTAAAGGTCATCGACACGTTCCAATCGAGTGGACGAGATCAAGATCGACGCACGATCGGCTTTAACCGCGTGATACTGAAACATGGAGAACACGTGACCCTATAGAAATAAAACGGAAGTCGTGTGAGCAGAAGTAGCGACGAGGAGGGTGTCGAAGGGAAAGAAAGCGATGCCAAGGGCCGCGAGGACAGCGGACGTCGATCGAAAACGTGCGATCATCGATTGAGGTCAGCAGCGATCTCGAAGCTGCATAGTTGTTTGTTAGGTGGTCAACTAGTCGTTGACGAAGATGAAGAATAACACGAGTAACCACGAGAAGAACGGGCCTGAGAGCCTGAAACTGCTGAGGGTACCGTCCACGCCACCGACTACCCCAACGACCCCTACCACGCCGAGCTCTAGGGGTCCCGAAGACTTTTTTAAGGATCTACCTATCACCGACGAAACCTCCTGCGGGATCTGGTGTATACGCAACCCGACCCTGCAGAGATTTGCCAATAAGAAGGCTTATGTGTTTCTATACGGTGTGCTAGGATGTATATTTTCGGCGAGTTACGCGTATTTCAACGGCACCATCACCACCATAGAAAAGAGGTTCAAGATACCGTCGAAAACGACAGGTGAGAATTCATGAATCTGCAAAGAAGACCAAGTAACACCACGCTTCCTAACGTTGTACAATTTGCATTCCTTCGAGTCGAACGATTATTGTACCCAGAATGCATTGCCAGCATTGTGTAAATGTTCGAATAGAGTTTTTCTGAAATTCTTCACATACGACCAAGCTTATGAAATATTGAGGTGGAATAACAAATAATCAAGATAGTTTAGACTCTCTGTAGGAACTTTAGAGAATATATCTTTATCAAAAGTATAGCATGTAACTGTAATTAATAATTGAAGAGTTACCTGGTTTTGTAATACATATAATTCCAGTTTGCAATTTCAATCCACTGGTAATAAATATTGTAAGATTTCAGGTTGAAGAAAAGTCGTACAGTTATGTACCTTTCATGTACTAAAAATATCGATTAATATCACGTAGCGAATGAAGATGGGAGAAGTATGTCATTGTTCCATATGATATGTATCGAGTGTTTACATTGTGTATCATAAATCAATACAATTCAGGCGAGCTAATTGTTTTCATCTATCGAGAACATTAAACGTGCACTTTTTCTTTTCCAGGTCTCATCTCTGTGGGTAACGATATCTCGCAATTATTCGTATCAGTGGTCCTATCTTATTACGCAGGAAGGGGTCACAGGCCTCGATGGATCGCATTCGGGATTTACACCGTAAGTTTTATCGAAATAAGTTCTCTATTCATGACCACACGAAAACATCCTGCTCTATTTTTACATTTGGTCTCTTTCTGTTTCTCTCCCCCTTCACCATCTTACCCTATCTCGCTCTCCCTTTCATGGAGACAGAAGAACGCAGAGAAAACTATCAGCTGTCGGCACACGCCCCGAAGAATGAACTAGGAGACGTCATAACCCACCGGTTGGTCAGTTCTTAATTAAATTAGGAAGCGTTGAAATCGTAGCTCTACGCTCATTCACGCCTCTTCCCATCGTACTCTCGCCACCGTATGCTTAGCTAAGCACTCCATTCATTGGGCAGTGAAAAGGCGCTGCTGGTATGCGTGAAGCAGTTAGCGTCACGTATTTTCAATAATTATGTCGAAATAATCTACGTTTAATTAGAAATCAATTTGTATGTTTTGTGTATGTGTAAAACGTTCAGCATTCTGTTTGCTTGTATTGCAATTAACACCTACGAAGTTAGAAAATACCGTTCTTCTACCTTAAACGACACGAAATGTGGCTTAGCACCACTGGATGTTTAGGTAACTGCTGGAATTTCGATGCCAGATGAATGAGGAATCTGTGTCAATATGGAAGTTGGCTCTGCAAAGAGTATGCTTCTTTTTTGTTTCATTTCTGTTCTCATCAATTTCAACTCACTCCTTTTAGTATTTATTTCTGTAGCATTATTGATGGAAATATTCCTGAAAGGAACAATGTGCTAAATCTGTGCTAAAAAGGAATAACAAATTTTATTATATGGAAGGCATAGATCTCATCAGTTTCTGTAGGTATTCATAAGAATATTCACATTTACCAATATTATACTATCATTTTCTCAGTATTTTATAAATCTTCTATGCAATTATTAGCAATATGCAGAATGTAGTGCATGTTAATCAATTAATAAATTGTTTTCAAAAAGTTTATTTCATGAGAAGTATAGCATAAGTTACATAGTAATGCCCAAAGGTAAAGTTCAATTTTGCAAAAAATTTTTCAAAATTTTTATTCCTTTTTTTTTATAGGTGTATAATTGTAAATAATATTAATATTGTATAGATGAACACAAACTCATATCATTTGTTACTTTTTTATATATTATGTTAATACCAGATTGTTAATTAATAATCGATTACTTTAACGTAATCTTGAAAGGTTTGTGAACAATTTTTCAGATTGTTTTTCAGACTTCCGACGTCTTTCATTACTGCCTTTCGACGAATTAATTACTCAACGTTTATCTCGCATAAGACGGCCGAATACTCTGTGAATTATTGTCAGAGCAATCGTTCAGATAACGTCATGGTAATGGTAACGGTAAACATGACATGTAGACAATCGTGTCTAACGATCATGGATATAAAAACTTCAAGAACTGTATGGCATTTTCCAGCCTGATTTTGTTTGATCAGACGAATGTAAATATCAGAAAACATACTGATATTATCAAAGTAGTATGCTCGAACGGTAAATAGCAACCATTAAAAATACATGCCATACGTGCAATATCGAATCTTCATCTTATTTCAATTCTATACTGCAACGAATCACTCTAATCAAAGATACAATCTAGAAAATGTTTTTAACAAATAAACAATTATTTGAAATCCCGGTTGTCTGCTTAGGTATTAGCTATTGGTTGATATAAGTAGTTAGGTATCAGTGATAGTCTCATTTTGGATTAGCTTCATTTTGTCTTCTCCAATTCTGAAGATTATGTTATGTAATTAATGAAATTTGCATTGAACGTTATAAAACAAACGAGTTTTTGTTCTTATTTCAAAAAATAATATATTTCTTTTTTCTGTTCTTTAGGTAGTACTTTTCTGCTGTCTAACGATGTTGCCACACTTTTTGTATGGCCCTGGAGAAGACGCTCT